TGCATTTATTGTTAAGCATTCCCAGTGAAAATCAACATCTTTTAAAATGTGTGTTTATTTAAAAAATCATTTGTGTACAAAAGTGTTTGTGTAGCTTTTATTTTCAAGACAAAAAACCACTGATGCTGCATTCCAGCCCACCCGCTCCTCCTGTACAGGAAGTCTGATGCTCAGGAACCAACCTCCTGCAATAATTTCTATTTGTAAATTCTTTTTTTTTTTTTTTTTTTTTTTTTTTAATTAGAAAAGTCAGAATTCAGGATGGAAAAGGTAAAGTGAAAAGCAGGGTTCTTCAACTGTTGACATCAGCATTCATGTGATGGCAGCCTCCTTCAGACACCACAACAGAGCACCAGCAGTTGCTGCAAATCGTAAAACGGACAAGTACAGCATTTTCACAGTACATTTCCTTGTCTGTTGAGTCATGTATCTTAACTTACATTACCAATGAATGGCTCAGCACCATGAGCGATCGGCTAGCTAGTTTGATGCCTACAAAGCAGGTAACAGCAGAGAAGGAACATCACATCACAGTACAGTGCAAATGACTTGCAAGAGTTTGTCCAGTGAGAGCAAATCTGAAGTTGAGTCGCTACCTACAGAGCACTGCAGCTGGAGTAACCAAGCAAGCAGCAAAATGCATTCATGACAGTGGGGTCTTGGGAGTCTAATGATGGGTCAGCTGATGACACCAACACCCCAGACGGGATGAGCAAGCTGCGTGACTTACTGATGGGTTTGGAACAGCTCAGAAAACTATCAAGAAAGAAGCGACCGCCCCTTTGCCTAGCCACAGGGCAAAGCTGTGCCTGGAAAATGAGGACGGTAACAGCGAAAACATCTCTACGGTCTTTCCCAGAAAGAGCTTTAGGCACCCAACGAGCATCTTTACTTCCACGCTTTAGTCCTGCGACGCAACCGCCGGCAAGACGAAATGCACTCGCGCTATCTGCTGTTGAGGCAATCGCTCCTCAAACCCGCCCGAAGCCAACCACCCATCACAATCGGCCGCCACGCTCATCGAGACGCTTCGCATCAACTCCATCAGCAAAGCACAGCAGGAGGGGACATCTCAGCTTCTCGCTGCGTCTGCTTGTCAGCGGACATTAAATAAAACTGACTTGCACTGCTAAATTATTTAACATTTCCCCCTTTGGGCAAGCCTCCCAGTCCAAGCTAGCTTTTGTTGGCGTTTAGGGAGGAAACAAGGGACGTGCGCACAGTTAGGCCTCCCCTCGCGCTGCAGAGGGAACACTTCCCCTTCACAGTCCACGACCAACGCACTAACCAAGAACTCCTGCTTGAAACTGTGTTTTGATTTTGCCCCCCTCCCCTTCTCCCTTCCCCGATTAAATAAGCAATCCATATGCTCTGCAGTGCCTAGTCTGATTCACAGCTGTTAAGCTTAAATTTGCATAGTTTAAATCTTTCTGTTACCCACACCATATAATGCAGACTTGGCATTACAAGGTAAGCTTCTTTCTGGCTATTTAATTCCTCCTTTCAGACAGCAACGACAAAAGATCCTATACTCCTTACGTCAGCGTTCCAACACTAATTTTACTTGGAAAACAGTTAAATACAATGATAATTAAAAAAACCCCAAGACATATTTCTACACCATTAGTACCTAATTGCTCAGATAAATACTACCAAACCAATTATAGTCAAGGCCCCATGTACTCTGTGGCAAGCTTTTTTAAACAAAAAAAATTAAGGTTTGGAATATGCAGAACGAATAGCACTAAGTGCCGCAGCTTTCCAGAAGGCTACGTTCCTAAGTTTTTGTCTCCAAAATGTACCAGTTTGTCACACTGAGAACACAGCTTGTTCGCAGAAGCAACGGGGGGAAGCTGTGAATTTGGCGAGTGGAGGTGGGATACAGTCAGGGCTTTTGGCACTCACGGGAAAACGGAGGCTTTTGGCAACAGGAAAGGGCCTTTCTCCACCTCTGCACAAAGTTGTACTTTACTCTTTGAGGAACGGGACGAGACAGGACTCTCTTGTTCCCCAACAACAAAAGAAACGAGGGATAAGCCACTTCGCTGGCTGCCCGTTAAAACACTCAGCAGTGAAATCTGATTGATGGTCTGGCAAATCACTAAGTGTCAATACCGACACCTTGTTTATACAAATGGGGCCATTTTGACTTCAAAATTACTGTTTCGAGCCGTCTTCTTACACGAGAGAGGAAGACAATGCAGGATTTATTCGTACTTGGGAAGCAACTGCACCCACGTTTTGTGCTCCTGTTGTAAGGAAGCGGTAAAGGTGCAGCCCGAGCCCGCAGCTGGAGCGGGCTGCGCGGCAACTCCACGTCTGTGAATGCACAGGGCCCTGAATATAGCAGTGGTCAGTCGTACAGAAAACAGAACTACCGTTTTGTATGTACAAAAACTCACAATGATAAACTGCACACTAACAGCAAAATTCCTAGGGCTCAGCCCCAGCTGCAGTTAACCTAACCTCGTGCAACACTATCCCTATCTTCAACTCTGATAATTACCAAGAACACAAACACATTCCTTATAAAGGACTCGCATGTCAAAATTCAGAGGGACTTCAGACCACAGACGTCTCCTTAATGCTGGGGTAACGTTTCCTTCCCAGCTCGCTTCGTGAGAAGCCTCCCCCCTGCCAGCACCTGAGCTAGCACCAAGATATTGCTGCTACCGAGCACGCGGAGGGAGGGCAAAAACCAGCATCCAACATCTGTACATAAGGGGAAAGGGGAAGGCCAAGTGTTTCGCAGTAGAGAAGAAAATGAGGTAACTTCATGAGAGAAGTCAAACTTAACAGGGCGTCTCAGAGGTGACCCTGCTCACCTAAGAACCATTTCTTCTTTTCTCCCCCTCCCGCTTTCCCTGGCTTCCTTTATCCCTTCACATACTGTTGGAAAAACCTGCTGTTCTTAGGAGACTAATCTTAATCTTACCAAAAGACACGGTCAGAAGCCTGTAACCGAGAAGTTTTATGTCCCCTACAATGATTTCCAAGTTCTTTCTTTTGATAAATAGCAGCGAAGAACAAGGGAAAGTAGTCAGCAATTTATAATTACCACCAGGGTAAAAAAAAAAAAAAAAAAAAAAAAAAGGTGTTGATGTCATCAAGAAGTTCTTAGCCTGTATAACAGAAAAGACAGCAACTTGAGATTAACACAAGTGGCATTTTGCCATAGTTTCCTACCGCCCCTGGTTTTCACCTAAAAAACCAGCTGAACAGTAGCAGCTTCTTGTTAAAAAAATAAATAAATATAAGGAAAGACAAACCAACTCAATTCCTTTGGCATCATTGCAAATGATTTACACTAACTCAAGAAAACTGATCACTGACTACACCTTAAAAAGCAGTAAGTATAAAGACTAAGCAAATGCATTTAGTATTGCACTGATATGAGTTCAAAGTATTCGCTGTCTGTGCCCTGAAATATTTTAAGTTTGGACACATCAGACAGAGCAGTATAGGGAACATCCCTGAACTAGCTAGGTCCCTAGAGCTCTCTTGCCTGGTTCTGTTCCCCTACCACTACGCTCCAGATATTTAACAGATACAATAATGTTCCTGATTTCCTCTAGTATGATTTAGAAACAGACTGTCTATGAAGTGCGAAACTATTCCAACTTGTACTTCATAGCTCCAGAAAAACCCCACACAGACGTGTATTTCCCCGCCCCATTAATCCACAGTTTAGGAGAAAAAAAACAGTCATGGAAAAGATGACTTATACAGTACTCCATTATCCACAATCCCCATTCTCTAGTCTCAGGATTTCTCTGAACTTTCTTGTCAGATATATTTTCAAAAGTTAGCATCATATTCACAAAGACATTGCAGCTCTCTTTAAATAGATGTACTAGCATTTGAAGTTGCAAAACTAATAATTTTCAAGCTTCTGCACTCAGGATGAAATGTCATTTTAATATGAGTAAAAAGACTGACTGTATGTACAAGCCAAGATAAGATTTCAGTTCTCGTTTATCAGAAACATCAATCCAAAAGAAAGCTAAATTGAGAACACACTTCTACTTCTATGTGCATTTGAAGTATGTACAGTAAAAACACCAACACAGCCTCCATGTGTCAACTAGAAAAAAATGCAAGCAAGGATGAATTTTAAAGTACCTGGTAAGCAATCCTTAAATTGAAGCCAAAATAAAGCTAGAAAACCGCTGCAAAAAACAGCTGATTGCATCATATCAAGTACTCGAAGAAAAATCTCTTTAATTCTCAGTACACTACAGAATCAGCTTTTTCCTCCTTCAAACCCAGTGAAATCATATTATCCAGAATGTACTGAAGAACATTTTACATCTATTGAAGACAAGAAAAAAAAAAAAAAAAAAAAGAAAAAAGGAAAGAAAACCAGCTCCATCTTTTTGTGCTGTATCGAGCCATACTCCTCATGAGATTGTGTAGAAAACATGATGGATGAAAATCATTACCGATAATTCAAAAAATATTTCTTGAAGTGGAGCCTAGACTACTTCAAATGGCACACATAATACCCACAGATGAGGAAACATAATTTAGTGAGGATTTTCAGCTGTATGATGTAAGGGAGAGGAGAAACAGGTTTCCCAATTAATAAGCTAGAAAGAAACTGGTTCTGAATAGGTCACCATTTGGAACTTTGGGTAAGTCTTGAAAGTCTTTCAGGATTAAAAAGTTACAAGAACACTCGAGTATTTCAATGGTGCTCCCTTCAGCGACCCTACCTAATATGTCTATTAAGTACAAGCATGCAAATATAGGTCAATCCACAGGCACATAGGATCCATGTTAAAAACAGTAAGATAGCTGTGATGAGTGGCACCAACAATTTTGATGACTAACACTCCAAAATGTTGCTTTCTGAATTACTAAAAATCCTGAAGCAAGTTCCTGCTAGTCTTCGTCACACTGCTAAACACTAAAGTAGGCATGTTTTTCCCCCATTATTTTAGCTGAGCTCAAAGAATTTTTACAATATTTAGTAAGAAAAAAAATTAAAGTATTTCCCCTTTTTAAATTTACACAGACGTTTAATTAGCTTTATTTACAGAGCGGTTTTTTCAGTCTCCAATAGTGCCTAGATAGCATCATCAGGCAAGAGTGCCAGTTTTAAAAGAGAATCTATATAGAATCCTAAAAATAACAGATGGTGATGCTCCTCCAGAAGGGGCAAGCTGGACTACTGAAGCAGCTCTCTCTACATGGCTCAGTTACTCAGGAGTAATTCTGTTGCAGTCTCTACATCCCATGATTTTGAAGACAAGGCCACTATTACTGCATTCTGCAATGAGAAAACAAAAGCAGTATTTTCAGTGTGTGAACCTGCAGCTCCGAGAAGTGGAATGAAAAGTTCACAGGTTAATCAGTATACATTACGTTTCCATTTGTTAAGTCCTACCTATTAATTTACAGAAAAAAACGTTTCAATAAAAACAAAGGTAGTTCACAAGTTGTACTAATAAACTAGTATTTTAAAACTTTGATTCTTAAAAATAATTAGCAAAGCAGAATGATTAGACCTACAAAAGGTCATGGAAGTAGTGAGTCTACTTTAGTCCACTAATAACTCCCTGTATTTGTACACATATATTTGCCCTGCCCCTGCTGAAAAATATTTAAGTTATATATACTTACCCTATCAAAGCCCATAGCACAAAGGTTTTCTATTTTTTTGGTGTATTCTGGACTAGAAACTGGTGCTCCAGCATACACATGTGCCCAAAGTCGAGCTGTCTGTTTAAACATTTCTGGATTTTGTTTGTACTACACAAAAGAGAGAGGGGGGAGAAGGGGAAAGTTAAATCAGCTCAGCAATCCAACCAAAAAGTGAGATGATACGGCAGATTCCAACCCATCATTCTTTCTACAATAGCTTCAACAGTGTTTCACACTGATCAGACTGCTATTTTTGAAATGAAATTTGGAAGTGAGGATTACACACAGAGTAAACCTATGCAAGCATTTGCTTTAATGTATTTGCCTTTATGTTAAATTACACACGAGAGGTATTTTATGTGTACAATCAGGTACTGCCTCAATTGCACTGATCAAAAGTAAAGCAGCTATATTTAGTACAGCTACTGAACATTTATATTCAGTGTGGCAGAGCACAAATTATCCCAACATTAGTATCCCCCGACTGCACATACTGCATACTACTCCAATGTATTTCCACATTCACTTAAAAATATGCCTTGTTTTATACACTGCAAGTAGGTCTGCAGTTTTTCAGTCAGGGCTGACACTCTACTACCAGGCTTCCTCCTGAGAATAAGGATATTGATAGAATATGTGACACAAGAACGGCTGAAAAATGGGTGAGCATATGCAAAAAGCCAGGAAGCTACAACTCGCTTCATGCAAGCTATTATTTATCAGGAAAAAAAAAAAATGCCGTGCATGTAAATATTATTGTGCACCAATCTCATCACTAACAAAGTTTTCTAATAAACAACAGAATGGACTTTATCACAGAGTTTTCAGCCTGTGCCAAGAACTCAAAAGCCAAAAAATGTGGTCATCTGTCATAAATTGTACTCAGAAAAGCAAGATGAGTTTCCTATTTTAGAAACTGTTGTGTGTAATATCAAGTTTAAGTTTTTGTATTTGAAAAAAAAAAAAAAAACCTCTTTCCCTTAATTATTACACTTTTAAAAAGTATTTTCACCTTTACATACATAATAAATTTTAGTGCTAAATAATGAGACAATATATTGGGAAATATATTATTTAAATATTTAGATGCATTATAAGGACAGAAACATGGCTGATTATCATTCTAAGAATTTTATTCATACATGAAAATAACAATTAAATCTATAAAGCACTGTCAAAGTGAATACAATACTTTTTACTGCTGTACATTTCATTTTACCTCTCCTACAGCAACACACACCAACTACACTGCACTGAGTGCATTGTACCCTTCCCACTAATACTGCTCTACATGAAGTAATTTGTATCTTTACTATCTGATTGTTAATGGCAAATTGAAACAAACATGGGAGACAATCTATTGTCAGAAACAACTCACTGTGTTATAAAATACAGTGGTTTGTAATAAATTTCTTTGGTTGTAATGACTAGAAAAGAAGAAGAATTAAGTTAAGCATCAGTAGCATCCCAAAGTACTATAGTCTTCTGCTCTTAAAAGATTTTCCCCCATTACTTTTTTTTATGTTTTTGAGAACACTGCCAAGCCTAGAAAACAACTTGCTGAAGTACAAAGGATTAGCCATGACTGTGTAAGTGCATTTTATTCAGAACTAGCTTTCAGTGTTCTATAAATAAAATTCCTTTTCTTAGGTATCCGTAAATAATCTAGCTTCTCACTGAATTGAGAAAAGCCTAAAGGCACCTTTTACTGATGTCTCTATATCAGGAATCTGAGGCAGTTAATGTTGCTGTACTAAAAAAAAAAAAAAAAAAAAAAGGCAACTAGTTGAAGTAGTTTTAACACCAGAGAGTTGGTGTCTGAAAATACTGCCATTACTCAAACAGGAGATTGCTCTGTGTTCTCCCTGAGATTCAGCTCAAGAGCTTGTAGGACGCTGCCATTTACCTGGACAGCTTAGTAGTCTAACAAGTAGTTTAGTAAATTAGCATAATGAAAAACGAGTGTGGAGGGTAACTAATTCCTTGTGAATTTTTGTTTTGGAAAAAAAAAAACCCACCCAAACTAAAGACCTCACCACCAAATAAAACACATGAAGGAACTGGGTCTTCACCACACCTCTGAAAGACATTCTAAACGCTTTCTATTTACGTACAAATGCTTCTAACTCAAGGCCAAACTCCAGTACAGTTTTCATGCGGGTATTTGCAGGGAACTGGAGAAACTGAATCTTCCCTGCATCAGCCATGCTACAGTCCCACTGGACACACCCCTACAAGCACCTCAGTGGCAGCCTGGAAAATTGCTCTTCAGAAGCTAGGAAGTTTCGTGAAGTTTTTTTGCCAGAGAAAAAACTCTTTCCAGCTCAAGTGCTTCTATGAGACTTACGATTCCCACACAAAGTTCTGCCATCGGGGCCCGAATGGGAAACACTATTGTTCTTTTTCACAAAGCAAAGAGTGGTTTTGTTTAATAAAGAGAGTGTGACAGCAAGGGCATGCATCCAGCAAGAACGACTGGTGCAGGGACATGCCTGGTGGCCTTGCTGGCCTTTGCAACCACTTTCCCTGGGCAGAACAATTCAGTCTGACAGAACTGTTTGGGGATGTTTGTTCCGAGCAGCCTTACAGTACTGCAGAACCCCACAAGCAGGCAAGCCTTCTGTACTGACTACCCAATATAGTAGTAGCAAACAGCTCTCCCCACCCAATGGTGCACTGGGCTACCTCCAATCTCCACGTTTCCTCCAAACCCCGACAGGTTTGATGAACTGCTGAGCTATCATCCTACACAAATTTTTAGAGGGAAGGAGTGCACACTTCGTCCCCCCATCCTGGAGGGTTCTGACTTGCAGGCAATATAGATGAGACTGTCGCTGGAAGAACCTTCCACTTTGTTTTTCTGTTACTGAAATATACCCTTGGTACCAGTCAATGGGGAAGCCAGGCCTTCTCTCTCTCTCTCTCTCTCTCTCTCTCTCCCCAGAACAAACAGGAAAACAACACGCACACACTTGGGACTTTGTTGAAAATCGTCAGACTACTATGTTATGGAATGACTGTTCCTATCCTTCATGAACACTTTAAATAGAACCATGTCATTCCTGGTACGGCATAAGATCCAATTGACATTTTATTATTACTACTTTTTATCAGTTACTGCTACTGTTTGAAAAGTAGCAAACTCCACTGATTACAGAATGCTTCTGATAACTGTTTTAGTCACTGGTTGAATTGGTATCCCAAGTACATGCAACGGTAAAATACACAGGATGCTTCATTCAAATAAATAGCTCCTAGGGATTAGGTGCAACAGTAATTCATCTAAAGACACTCTTCATAAAATTCTGACATTAAACAAATACAATGCTCAATGATATTAATCTGGAAGAGGAGCTACATACCAAGCCCAATCCAATTAACACCATCAAGTTAAAACTCATTTTAAACTAATACAACATTGCTTTTCTTATACTAGAAGCACCTCAGATTTTAAAGGCAAGTTATACTGGAATTCATTTTACTATGATGTTGTCTCCTGACATTTCTGACAAACTAAATAGGGAATAAAACTAAGAAAATAAACCTCACGACACTGTAAAATAACTGCTATTTACTCTGGAATCTAAAGAGTAAAGAGCACAAAACACCATGGTAATTCACACTTACTGTAAGGCAATTTTCCAATAAATTCTTTAAAATCTTTATCTCCTCCAAGGGCTGGGACCTAATCTGAGTTAGCAAAGGTTACAGAAGTGTTACAAACTCAGTCAACTGAGTGTCTTACCTGGTTTGCCACTACTGCATCTTGTGGATCATCTGGTTCTGCAGCTGCCAGCAATGCTTGCAGTGATAACAACACTGTTCGTAGAGTCATTGCTGCTGCCCTAAAATTAAAAATTTGAAAATGACTTTACCAGATCCCATGCTGGTACTCACCTTTGCTGCTGTATTAGTATCACAGAAGATATAAAGGTACACGTACAGACTGTAAGTTTAAGAATTGTACTTTTAAACTGCTGTAGCTTATAGTTATTAGATGCCATTATATATATATATATATATATAAATAGGGGTTTAAATCTGGACTTTCTTATTAAAAATGCTTTCTTAAGCTTTTGGAAAATACAGTCCTTGACCTACACATTTGACCATGCCCTCTTAACAGAATTAATTTCATCCGGAAAAAAAGCCAATATGAAGTCTGTGTAGTCCTTCCTCACTTCCATTAACAACACCTTGCGTCAAGTCAAGGTACTGAACAGGTGGCCCATGTGTGCTCCCTCTGCTGGCACTCTTCATAGCAAAATGGCATGTACAGTAATAGTGATCTATATTTTAAATACTTGTAACAGATAGGAATTTTATACATTAGATATCTTTTGCATTGCATCAGTTTTAATGTTACATTTTTCAATAAAATCTAACAATTTACATAGTGAATTACTACTGTAATAGCAGAAAGGTTCGGCTATTACAGAATGTGCAATTGAAAATATTATCTCAGCTTCCTCTCATTTCAACCTGACATGACTGATGGAAGCAGGAAAACATTCTGTAGTCATGATGGTGCTGTAAGGTCACTCTTTTGCCCCTGTGAAAGAACCTTGTTGAAGGTTGGTACTTCTGAGGTTCCATGTTCTCATCATTTATCTTGATCTCAAAGTATATTTAGAATAAAAGACTTCAATAATTTACTAAGGGAAAACCAAGTATGTTCATAAAAGTTAATAAATACTTAGAAAATTAAAAGTATGAAACTGTTACACACTGTAAATACAGAAAGTTGTAACTTTTAAAATATACAGTTTAATTAGATTTTGATCATGAATGCCTTCTCTGATCTACCATTTCAGCTGGCACACATTGGAAACCAAACAGGGACCCCACAGAATCTGTGAAAGCTCAACATTTCAGCTGATTTGAAGAGTTAAGTAGACTCTTAATTGTTCTGGCAAAGGCACAGATAAGATATTCAAGCCAATACACAAAACTGCTTACTCTGCTTAAATTGAAAGGTAAGTGGGGAAAACGTGGTATCTTAGATTTGAGCAAAATGGTTATGGCACATGAAATGCCAGAGGAAAGTTGTGAAACACAGGCATCCAACTTCTTACAGACAAACTGTTCAATTTTCAATCAACAGAACATAGTTTCTTCTTTTCAGAAGACTGAAAGTAAATGCAGAGAGTCTGTTAGAATGGATGGGGAAGAGTTTGACCTGATGGTCCAGATACAAAGAAAACAGTTTCCAAGTCTATTTCCAGTAGCAGATTTCAGAAATGTATGTGTTTTCCAGCACCGACGCACTGTATTGAGGTACCCTAGAGGAGTATCCTGATGAACCAAGACTAGATGATGGTAAACTGTCAGAGGTACAGATCTGATGCCCAAATATTATATTCCTAGATGCTTACATTTACAGCTTTCCTGCTATGTCACTAACCATTCAAATATGTCATTCTTCCCTAATTGTTTCTAATTCTAGAAGATTTTTCCTAGAAACTTACTTTTTTTTTTTTTTTTTAGCTTGATAATCATCACTGAGTTTTCACAGTGCGGTGTTCTACATCAAAACACAAGTGAGAAACACCCCAAGTGACAGAGATTTTAATTAGCACATATTGTCTCATTCCAATTGTCACATCAGCTTGAAGTCCCTCAAGTTGAACTTTGCAGACTTAAATCTTAAAAAAAAAACGCATGCTTTTAGATCTGAATTCTGACAAATTACAAAACCTTCACAAAATATAATTCTCCTTTTCCAAACCAATTCTTTTGTAACTTTTTTTTTTTTTTTTAGAATTTCAGATTCTCTTCCAGTTAAATTTAAGTATTTCAGGTTCCAAGTTGAATGCTTCTCTGAAGCCAAAGAATGTTTCTTTAAATTACGAAGATGGGGATTAAGTAGTAAGATTATATTTAATCAGATAAAGAACGCCTAGTTACTGAAACATTTCCTCAGTTGCGTGATGAGAGCCTAACACAGTAAATTCAAGAGTACAAAGCATCTTGGTTTTCCACACCGAAATCACACACACAAAAACCTCAGTAAAAGACCATAGAAATATTTTTGCTTTACATGTACCTATGCTATTTTACACTTCCAATTTCCTGTTCTTTGTGATCTCTACTGGTTTATACTGTCTTGAAATGAATCCATTTAATGTACACATTGATGACATCATTCACAGTGGTATCCACTAGTATTAAATGAATGTAATGCAACATGTTTACTATTGCAGCATTCAGGTGTCACAGAATGCCAAGTCCTTCAGGCCCTACCATGCTCAAATGGGTTTAACCATATTTATTTTTATGCAGTGAATTTCAGAAACTACCACATCCACCACACACTATAAAACCTAAAGTCTTTTTTTCCCAGTTAAGAAATTTTATTACACTATGTAGTGCAGTTTTAAAGACAGACTTAACATGATATATCTATTACCTGTAATTGATACTGTAGTTACTTTCACCAAATAAAAGCTGTTCTGCATTCTCCTTTACAGAAATCATTCTACTTGAGACATCTGAAAATACTGCCATTATTTAAAGTAGAGAAGACAACATGAAAGGGGTCGCAGCCACTTGTGCCACTTTTACATATAATTTACTTCCATTTCCACTGTACCTTCTAGGAGTGGAAAATATCCCTTGAGGAGCAGGGGGCATTACTATGGACCAAATGTGCCAAGAACACAAGTTCTGTGCTGGCTGCAGCCATCTCTGGCTTTCAAGACTGCTAGGCCCTTTCAGTCCCTGTTCATCTGTTACGTTTGTAGATTTTTATATAAAGCATACTGGGACTTGAACTTCTGTTCTGACATTCCAATTTCAAAATGAGTAATAAAAATAAGTACCTCATCCATTTGGATATACAGATGGCTATATGCGCAGAGAATTCAAACTAAAATAATAAGTTTATAGACAAGACTAGTTTAGCTACATATGTGAAAAGGTTTAAAAACATAGTTTACAACTTATTTTCAAGTCTCATGTCTCAAAATGACTTTCACATCTCATGCATAATAAGACAAATTCTTCACTGGACACAAATGTTTAAAGAAGTATCCTTAAATCATAAAAGAAAACCTGTTACAGCTTCAGCTGCTGTTTGTATTTAAAAAAAAAGGCAATTAAAACTCGTGATTAATGGTAAAAAAAAAAAATCTGACATATTTTGTGTAACTATCACACACCCATGTAACATTTTCTACCTTTAGGATACCAATTAGCTTTCCTGTTCAAAGAAAGTAAAAAAGTCTAGTTATTTTCTACATAGCTTAGTCTTCATTTTTCAGACATAAATTAAGATTCCCAGAAGAAACTGGGGGGACAGATAAAAATAGATTTTTGTCTCCCAAGTATCTTAAAAAACTCTTCTTCCTTACCATTACCTTTGTTTGGGAGAATAAAGTGAATGGAGACGACTAGAACTACATTTACAGACATTAGTAAGGCAGGACTTGTCCATCATCAGCAGAACAAAAACAATTCTTACCATCAGTTCTGGAAGAAAAAAATCTATGCCAATAGCAGCACAAAACTAAAAAACCCAATGCACACCCCCACCCACATCCCCACAAGCTAGAGAAGAATGTGCTGCAAGAATTTTATTTTCCTTAAAATGAAATTCCAGTGGAAAGATACGCATCTTCTGCATTTTCCAGTGCTCCTCAAGGATTTATTTTTTCCAGAATAGAATCCTGGGGGAAAAAAAAAAAAAAATCTCCAACTCTTCCTACATTTGAAGTTTATTTCTAGGTGTGGATTTATGAACAACATCTCATGGAGTTCAAGCAATTCCCTTTGGTAACTCAAGCTAGCTGCACACTTGGGTTTTAGGTTTTTTCTCTCCTCCTTGCCAAAGGCAAGGTTTTGTATCACTCCTGACAGACTTCTGTCTATTCCATTCTTAACTGAAGCCTCACAAGTTTCTTGGAAAATCTATTTCAATGCTTCACCATGCTTGGTATTCTGCATGCTAAAATGGCTTTCCAATCCTTCACTGTAGGTCATATTTGCTTAGACCTTCATTCTTGTTACTTTACTCCAGATTTTTCCTATCATTCCCATCTTTCTTGGAATACAACGCTCAAAGTAGGTACACTACTCCAATGGAAGCCTGACCCATCATAAATAAAAAGCAGACAGCTGATATCATGAGTTCTGCAGGTAAAACTTCCTACATCCCAGCATCCTATTTGCCTTGCACATGACATTACTGGCTCACGTTTTCTCCTAAAGTTTACAGTAACTCTCGACTCCTAACTCCAACCCAAAATGCTGCTTAGCCATGCTTGGCTTGCAAGTCTGACATCTACGAAATGGGAAAAATGGTCAGTAACATCTCTACCAGTGAGCTGCAGAGAGCTCACTACAGGGAAGCACGCTTCCACTGAGAACTTCAAACTAGAAACTTCCACTCCAGACATCCTAACCAAAAACCAGGCTTTCTACTGGCACTACGTTTGTTAAACAGCAAGGAAAACCTGAAGTGAAGCAGAAGAAAGCAAGCTGATATATATTTTATTCACTTACACTGTTTTTTTCCTTTTTTTTTTTTTTTTTTTTTTTTTTTTTTTTTTTTTTAGGTAATATCTTGGATCAATTCCATTAAAAAAAGAGCACCCCTAGTTTGGATTAATACAGTGATAATATTGAAAAGTATGGTGAGCTAGCTGTGCCCAGCATGCCTGAAGTAAGAAATTTCTTACCTTTTGATGAGCTGAAAGAGTCTTAAGAGGATTATGAAACACTGTCAGTTCTTCTTCATTTTTAAAGGCTAAGTAATTTTCCATTTAGGAAGTTTTTACTTATGTTCTGTACATTCCTCTCTGGAAACAATCTCTCTAGATACTCTGAGAGGTAACCAAGCAGAACAGCAGCAACAGCTACAGCCAGCAGACTGTTGCTCCACTCTGTCAACCAAACATGGCTATTGGGAACAATTTTTAAATTTTATTTGTATTTTTTTTTAAATAATCTGCAATGTTTTTTCCATTTGTGAAATAATTGAGCTTGTTAATCCAAGAGAAAAGATCTGAGAGCTTGTATCAAGGGCTTATGGAATCTGTAAGGAGGGAAGAAATGAATAAGGCCTTTGAGTGGAAGCCTGTTGTATAGTCACTATTTACAGGAGAAATACAAGACTGGGCACCCATTAGGGAAAAAAAAAAAAAAAAAAAGAATAGCTTTGACATAGTGCAGGGAGGGAAAACCAGCCTGCTTGCTGAAGAGTTCCCTCAAATAATATTAATATTCTCTGCATTTTTCTTAAAGCTTTAAAGAGGCTCAGTACTCCTCAAACACCCTGAACAAAACCCAGCAGTTTCAGATGCTCAAGAAGATGATTACTACAAGCTGGCTTTTGCTTATGTATCTTATAGTAATGATTTCTGCATCTCAATTAAAACTGAAGTGTGAATCCTCCAGTACAGACACTATGGAAATATATTATTCTTATTCTTTTTATTTCCACTGTCAAAACCACAACAGTCAAGAGTTTTTTGTGGCCATGCACATAGCCACAACACATTTGCTTGATAATCACTGCTCAAGAGATTTATGCAGAACAGCTTTCATGTAATTTAGCTTTCAGGTTTCAATGAACAGTATTAGATACATTTTTTTATTTAAGAATAAAATCTTGAGACAGAATACTAGCGTGGAAGATAAATATAGGCTACAGTAAGTGAAACCACATAACAAAAGTCACATCAGATCAGCATAAAGAGTATTCCTTTTATAAAATCATATGCCAGTTTTAATTCTACCAGCAAACAGTAGCTGTTTTGCAAACAAACTGGCATAACAGGTATTTACAAATCTAAACATGATGAAAATCCACATCTGCAAAGAATTTCAGCATCAAGCATATACTGTGGAGAAAGAATTTCATTTAACTCATTAAAAAATCATTTAAAGACATTACTTTGCAAACTGATAAAACCCCCTGCCAATACGCAGAACTATATCTCAACTATGCTTATTAGAATAGAAAATCATTATCATGGGATGGGTGAGTAGAGAAGAGACTTTTTTTAACTATACAAACACATTAAATTCTTTGTATTTGCATTCGCCATATGAGTATTTTATCAGTTTATTAACTCTTTAAGAAACCCCATAGGCCCAAATTCTGTCCTTCAACTCCCACTGACCTCACTGAAAAACAAATACGCACTGGAATTTGAGACTCACATTTAAACACAGCAACAAGAGCAGCATTATTCAGTTAAGAACATTACAAGTCAATGAAGTGGCACTTCAGAAACAGAGCTTGTTACTAAAAGATTTGATGAAAGACTGTGGAACAAAATATATTTTCTTGAGCACACCTATTAGAATATTTCACAATTGCATTTGTCCCATTTACCTTTGAATAGTTGTTAAAATCTATTAAATATTAAACTATCAAGGTTGGGGAGAGTTTTGCTTGGGTTTGTTTGTTTGTTTGCTTTCTAATGAAACTATCATTTTATTCAAATCACCGTTCAACCTACACATACAGAAAACTTAAACATGGTGATGTGGGCATTTCTCTGTTTAAACTGCTAAACCAACATACACAGAAGAACAATAAACAACTTAATATTAACCGTTCATATGGCTTAGGAAGTTTTAGGAAGCTACTCAAAAAAAGTCTTATCTATGACAATACTGAAATCTTTCAAACAAGAAAGGATGGAGGTACGCACAACCATTTCCTCTTCTCCAAAGAACCAGAGGCTTTGACAACCACTTCAACAACGGTCAAGCAATTTTTGTTTACCATTCTATCATTAAAAAACAAATCTTACAAAGAGCACCACTAGAAAATGAAGGTATCACGACATTAAGAACCATTTTCAAAGAGATTATAGTATATAGGAAGCTTCCCCCTCGCCCCCCCCAGCAAGTTCTGTGAAATTCTTTACTTCATGCTTCCCAATGAAGACAGAGTTTCAAAGGAAGAGTTTAATAACATATGTAAGTGGCACAATACTGGTGCTCCCTGTGCCAGCCAGTGTAAATACACAGAAGGCAAGTTCTTGTTCTAATACTCTTACTTTGTATACATGTCGGTGAAGTATTAATGTCTTGGGGTTTTTTTGTCAGGCAGAACTAAGACACAGATTGTTATCTGTGTTATTTGTGCAAGATCTAACTTTCAAAGATTACAAGAACTCCTCTCCTGTTCTTCTCTTCCAAATTTCAATGGTTTTGACTAAAATAAAGAAAAAAAAAAAAAGTTGAAGCTCATTATTTCTTTAGGTCTTTGTTGCCTTTTGGTATTTTATATTTTTTTAGCTTGATCAGCCACTGGAAAGGCCAGAAACTTTAATCTTGAAAGCTATTAACTGCTTCATTCTTAAATCAGCAGTTTAGGGATAAGACTGAAGTCACAATGCTTGGCAATGCTGAAAGACAACAGAAGACCTGTTCCAGGGCTGGAAACCAAAATGCGCTCTCCTGAATCCTAGTCCACTGCTATGGAAGCAAGATCATCCATCCTTCTCCGTAGAAAACACTAATTAGGCAATACATTAAAGTGATGTGAAGATAACAAGAAAATGTTAAAAAAAACACTGTTATTTTGGTTTTAATGCAAAATGTGATAAATAAGCATGATTTCTGCTAGGGACCATTTTTCCTTCCAAGTTTCTAGTGGAAAAACCCTCCAAAATTTGTTTTGCAAAAAAAAAAACCCAAAAAAAAAAAACAAAAAAAAAAAAAAAAAAAACAAAAAAAAAAAACCCAAACAAATTAAAAAAACGCATCCCAAACAAATAACCCAAACCCAAACCAAATTAAAAAACAAATCCAACACACAAACCAACCATCCAACCTCATGCCCATTCACTCATCTGGTTTAGAGTATGATCTCTCAGGAAACTATACTGGGACAGCTGAAGAGTCATTAATCTCCAGTATACTTGTAGGGTGGTATGAATAACTAGGTGCAGGTACAGAAGTGCACTGGCTTTACTGACAGAAAAATTATACCACGTACTATAGCATGTATGTTGAAAGCTTCTACTGCCTGAGAGAATATCAAGTGTTTCAAGACAGTAAGGAAAAATATACAGTTCCAGAAATTAAAAAGACAACAGCTTATAATTATTATGATTTTAGTAACTGACACTATCCCGTGTCACATGATTTGCATAATCTAATCACTCTGTAAGAGACAAATACACTGGAAGTGTCTCCTGCAAGACCTCAACCCAAGCTTTCTGTTCCAGAGTTTCTATTCCAAATCCAACCAATGTCTGCTAGACCAACAGCAGTCTTGATGAAGTTGTTGAATTTAAAAGCATTTGAAGCTTGTATGGATTAGATATTGATATTATCTGCTGGGGAAAAACAGTCCTATTCTTTTGGGGCAGACTTGGCAGAAAATAACAAAGATTAATTCCATTCATGTTAGACATCACATCTATCATACAATTGGTGCATACAATCTTTAAACCACATGAAATGTATCCCTTGAAAAAACAAACGAACAATGAGTACAGCTGTTACAGTCTGGACACTTACAGGTCTATTCCATAGATTTTGGCTATTAAAACTTTTTCAGGAACATTAAGTAATCAGAAGTCAGCAACTGACCAGCAACTAAAAGACAAATGGTTTACAGAGGTGCAAATCATAAATACGTCAGTGCTAATTGAGACACAGAATGAGTATGGCCAGTCGTCTTCTCCTTTTCCTACTGCTGACTAGTAACCTTTTATATTCCCAGACTCACTTCATACATTGTTTTAGCTCTATCAGAACTCATTTTTATTTGGAGGTAGAAGTCAAGAATCAGAATGACGATAAACACTTGGGTTTTTTTCTACTTACACCTCAGGAGGCTGAAAGGACACAATTCAGGACATAACTCCTACAAAAACACCCAAAACTTCAACAACAATGAAATGTTCACCCTAACCCTAGTGTAAAAATTTTTGGAAAAGCTCTCTATGCATATAGTATCTACTTAGTACTTTCCAAAATTACCAGCCAGTCATTTCATTTGCATATTTTCAACTCGAAATACTACACTGAAATATTGTAATCTTTAAGGATATCTCAGATTACAAATGCAAAGTGAAAAGCAATATAAGCTGTTGTCTTCTATCCAGGACAGTAGTATATTCAATTTTGCACATTTAAATCCATATGGAATCTTACCATTGATCTTTCAGAATATCCAAACAAATGGCCCCAGTGACTGAGCTAATATTAGGATGCCATATTTTGGTGATAAACCGCACCTAGAAGACAATTTTTGAAAACAAATATTGTTAGTAAATGCAATATATTAAGTAAATATTTTAAATGCACCATTTCTAATAATCTTACAAAGAAATATACTAATTTAGAAAATATCAAGCTAAACCACAGAACTAAGATATGTGATACCACTTATTTCAGGAGGCTTCAAGTTTGCAAGGCCATTTGTTAGACAGAGCCTTATTTTACTTGAAGCCAGACTACTGCCTGTTGGAGGACAGGAAACTCATCCCTGACTGCTCTCCCACACACTGTCATGTATGCACATCCCTGCATCACATAAAATCATTTAGAAATATCCTCCAGCAGTACCAGTATTTTGACATAAGCAGATGGTCAAATACTGACTTAAAAACTACCAGCATCGTAAACGCCAGAAGTCCACTTTCAGTCAAGTGAAACAGGTCCCTGAACTCTTAACGTAGGCATTGGTTCTCACTGTTCAGCTACATTATTGGTAGCTACAGAAGTATTATAAAAATTTCCTTGACGAATGCTACTACTTCTATAACCATCCAGTCTCATCACTCATGAGCAGAAAGCTCTTCAACAAACCAAAACTTAACCAGATTACAATTATTTTTCTTTGCTGTTGAAAGGATCTAGTCCCAGCATTCACTCATTGATCACGTCCATATTTTTACACTAAAATAAAGTGCATTCATGATCACAAAGCATGATTTTTTTTTTAAGACACTGAGGAAGCTAAAAGCAGCATTTTCTTTTAAAAGTCTCAAAACCCAAAGCTGTCCTCTGAAAGGAATATGTACATGCCTTTAGAAAATTCTCCTTCATTTTCTTCAAACCCCTTATTTCAGGTTGCACTTTAACTGCCTTCTAATGACTTTGACCTGTCTCTCTGTTTCTCATCTCTAGCTCCTCACCCCAAACTTCTGACAAACATTTTATGTATAGCACAGATATTTCAACTTTTTCCTCTGATCTGCAAGCAAATCAGTGCAGAGAGCACATTATTTGTCAGGTATCACAACAAAAGACCGTACATACAGGGCTATAATAAAATCAGTACAATCATGGTGTATAAATAGGCAATACCATAACAGTTCTGCCGTCCAGGACAGAAGAGATCATGTCAGCTGAGCCACTTGCTAACTAGCTCAACTCTCCAAATCACTTTGAAAATGTAAAAAGCCATGTAAATACTAGGTGATTTCTCACAGTGAATGACAGCTAACAATGGCTGTCAAAGCACATACTGGACAAGATAAAGAAATCTTTCACATGAAAGGCCGGGCTAGACACAAGCAAAAAGGCCTTCAATTCCAGACTACAGACTCCAGAATAAGTAGTACTATGCTACAGCGCACTGAGCTTCTATCAGCTGTCTATAAATGGAAACCATCAAGCCCTAAAGCAGCAATCAGACCATGGTCCACAGACCCATCTTTCAGTGTCTAAACCTGTTTCAGCTCTCCTTATTTTAGCTCCTGCCAGAACACGTGCAGATGAAAATAACTGAAACCAACAGACATTTCATTAAGACTTTCTGTGTCCTTCACTCCAATCTCAAGGAAGTTCTTCAAAGGACAAGAGCCAAGGACCTACAAGCCACTGGCACCTCTCCCTTCTTCCTCTGTATTACATACCAGGGTGAAAACAATCAGGATCTAGGACTCGTTCTTAGTTCAAAGACATCTTTCAGACAAACAGAAAACCAATCAAGAAGCTGAGTCAGACAACTCAGGAGTCCGCTGATTCATCACAAGCCACTGAGGAAGGGACTACATCAAGGCACAGGAATATATAGTTCCAGCTGCACGTGGCTGGGAACACCACTCTTCAGATTGATGCACTTGGGAAGGAAGTGGAATCACAAATTTAAAGTGCTACAAAGATACAGTAAGGCTGAAAGGGTAGTAAGTTGCAAAAAAATGTATGAGTGACTTCACAGCTGTTTCTCTGGTCTCTCATCCATATGCATGTTTTATGCATTCCTTCAAAAGAGTTGCTGTAAGACCCTTACATTTCTCTATTGGTTCTTTCAAGTCACACAACTGTACACCTCACTATTTAATTATTACTGGAAACGGGATAGGTTAGACCCAAGACTCTACTAAATATAACTTATGGAGCAAGAGAATCAATAATTATATATTACAGCATTTATTCAGTGATACTGAGGGGGAGGGAAGATAGTTTTACTTGATGTAGAGAGCACGGCTATCTGAAAACTGCATTTATCTTGCCAAAAAGAAATTACATAGAGGGTCAATAATAAGCCACAAGCTCCTCCCCAGAATTTGCTGGTTTGTACTTCAAGGAATAATCGGAGTGTACTTCTGACTGGATACAGCTATGCATCCTACATTATTTCTACCTAAACATGACAGCTCCAATGCCTGACTAGAAGAAGGGAAAGAGGTGGGGGGGGGAAAAAAAAAAAAAAAAAAAAGGGAAGATGGGTACTACAAAGAGAATACGCACACAGGCAAATAAATAAGAACATTCAAACCCAACTTGTTAGCCAAATTATTTTATCCCAAAAAGCATTTACAGTACCTTAGGAGGATTAAATGGATATGTTTCTGGAATTTTTATCTCTAGTTGATACCTTCCACCTGCAAAAGACAAGAACAAGTTACAAATTAAAACAAAAGAACATTATTCAAGCTTTGTCTTTCGTGACAATAAAGCGTATGTTTCTAAATGGACAGGTTTTCAAGTAATTAAAATTTACTCAGAAGTATTAGCTAGAAGAGACTTCTAAATTTCATATATGTTATAGAGTAATGCATATAAAGACAACGTAATAAAGTTATATTTGCTTATGCAAACCAGAATCTGAATTTCTTAGGTATATTTAATGTGTACATTCTCCTATAATTTCTTGTTTCCAACGTTGCAACTTCCATGCTCTATTTTAGTGAAAAAAAACAAAATATGAACCAAATGTCCCCCAAACAGATGAAACAATAGGCCACAGGAACATTCAGGCTGAACATGGTATATTACACTATTTTGATTATTTTCTGATACCTAATGCCAATAAATTTTCTTTGAATTACACAACTGAAATTAACTGTATTTAATTTTAAGCTTTCTGGAACTGAAGAACGTTCAACTAAATCATTTAAGAAAAGCTCCCACACTTTGGGAGAAAAAAAAATAAAGAAGGCTTCAATGTTACTTCTACTATGTTCTACATTATTGTCTGAAGTAGTTATTTCTATTCCAGTTCTGCAAACACTTTGATACACTAGTACTATTAATATAGTTTGTAGGATTACACCATGCAATAAAGGACAGTATGAGCTTGGCGGACTGAACCACCCTCTACTGCCCTTTCCTAAACATTTCTCATTTTTCTCTCCCTGTTACAGTATCATTACCTGTGTCTACTCCAACTACAGTTTTGCTGACATTCAAGTTTACTATCAATACTTATGCCTTCTGTAGCAACCTCAAAAACCTCAAAAAAAAAAAAACCCCAAACCTGTGCACTGAAGATCATTTGCCAGGCAGCAGCTTAATGACAAAAAGAAGAGCATAACAAACCATGTCTACCAATGTAGACATTTAACTTTTATAGAAACTGAATGCATTTCTCCTCACTTGCAAATTTTTTTTCCTCATCCTAGTGCTGTTCTTTCAGACAGAAGTCTTCCCCCTCCCTCAATACACTTTGTTAAAATATATCATTTTCCTTGAATTAGAGTTGAAGTATCTGCAATCTGTTTCCTCTTGGATTTCAAGAGTGATTTATTTACTCTGTTGCACATCCCTCTATACAAAACCAGCTCTTAAGGAGTCTTAACACAAGCAGCAATATTCACATGCAGGAAAAATACCTCAAAGGAATACTCTGAACATTTAGTCTATGGCACCTTTTTATCTATGCCAAAATGCACATCAGCTGCTACCAACACCCCTGACTTAAAATGCAACTCAGTCTAATACACTACACCTGAAACTGATTAATACCAGTTTGGCATTTTATACTACTTTCTACAGCTGATTTTTCTCTCTTAATACTATAGTAACTTGAGAAGATTTACAGAAAATACAATAGAAGAAAGGCCAATAAATCCAAAATTATAATAGTCAATGGCTAAGTTGATCACTTGTCTGCTTACAGGACATCATGGGCAAAATATATTCGAAAACACGTACATCAGCAACAGACCTTAAGGAAGTCTGCTTTTCCTTTTGTCTGAATTAAAGCATAATTCAGCAGCAATTTTTCCTAAGAAATAGAATAATTACACTGTTCCTGGATTGCAAAAATTCATCAGTCTCGGTATGATTTTACTGCCACACCATTCTGTAAGGTAATTAAAACCTATCCTTAGGTATTACCATTTCTTCTGCTTGCCTTTAAAAGACAGACTACTATAGCTGTCTGCATAACAGGCTATTCAACCACCAAATTTTTCCACCTGGAATATACAAGTCCAAAAGATTTTAAAACTGCAGGGACTACTGAGTTAGTAATATTACTTACACAGTATTGTTGTAATGCACTGACGTTTACAATTAATAATATAGGCTTGAAGACTTAAACTGAACAAATCTGGACATAATTTCCTTAATACTACTTTAAAAAGCAAGTGACTAGCATACTAACTTCTGCATGCCAATATTTCTGCAGATTTTTTTTATTAGAGGAGTATGCACTTGTATGGCTTTTTCATAGCTATTTAATATTTGAGATTAAATTAAACAGTAATGGCAGAATATACCTTCTGTACTACTCCTGGAGCATATGTCTCACAATAGAGTTAGAGCAAGTTTTAACTATTTTTCTTGGAGAAATACCCTACTATAAATTTTGCTATTATTGTGGCTCACACATGAACTTGGCCTGAAATTAAAACCATGGTTGCACAGGGTTTAAAAAAAAAAAAAAAAAAAAAAAAGCAACCCCCAAAACCAACCTATTCTTGAAAAGCTCTTGAATCAAGTAAAACCAAGCAGCCATTAATTTAGACTTGCAAAGCCCCTCTCTCCAAACATACATGCTTTAACATGGGATGCAAACATGTTTCAATTGAAGTTGTGTCTTGCAGTATTCTGCTAATCGATCAGTATCAGTTGACACTACTGACAGAAAAATAAAGCTGTAAAATTTGTCAACAATAGATGGCATTCTTCCTCTCAGTCATACTTAAACCAATGTCCTGACATCACCTATAAAAGAATTTTGCAGCAGTGGTTTGTTTTCAGATACCTCACCAACTGTGGTCAACAATAAATATTACTGTTCTTTCACTTCACAATGGACCTAGAATTCCCTCCTGTATCAAGGAATTGTCTGACCTGTATTACTCCATTAATTAGCTTTTCTTCATAAAGCCCTTCTTGCTGTGTCATTGTTCAGACTACAGATGACAGGAGATCAGTCAGTAATTATGCAGCATGCATTACTGCATTAGTCATAAAATGTAAACTACAAACACTGGCAAGCCCTTCATAATTACATAAGGGAATAAATGCATAAAACTATGTTACAGAAATATTTACATTCCAAAGTAAATTACTCCAGTGTCAGGGAATGCCAGAAATCAGGCTGCCAGTAACTTTCATTTTCTCTTTGATGCCTATGCCTTCTAGATTAAAGCAAGCATACAATCACATTACTTTTCAATGACATCCCTGCCATAATCAGAATACAAAGTTTTAGCCCCCCAAAAGGGATATTTACTATATCTTCATCATTAAATGTACTCATATGTATATAAGTATTCATGCAGGCATTTCACATCAACAAATTCCACACTAAACACATATTGCTGATTTTCATTAGCTGGATATGCTGAACATGCAAATACACAATGCTTGGCTTTTGAAATTTTGGTGTTCCCGAATTATCCAGCATCACACAGAACCCCGTTCAGCAGACAGGCATTCAAATCTTTTTTTACTCTTTTCATTAACTGATATACAGTTTTAAAATTTTTGTGACATGTGAATACACCTTTCATTTCAAATAACTCTCAATACACTCTCCAAAAAAGGTCCATTTTATAAGCCGAGGTAATGCTGACCTGGAGGGAAAAAACAATGGCAAGCTATGACAAACCAACTAAGCCAAGGAAGATTAATTCTGTTTGAATGAAAAAAACAAAACAAAACAAAGCAAAACAAAACAAAAAAAAACCAAACACCGAAAACCCCCAAAACAACACCCTCCCCCCCCCCCAATCAGATGTTTCCTAGTATCCAATTACCTAATTTTGCAACATCTTAACATCTGTATACAAGACCTGGTTTTACAAGATCAACTGTATTTGCAAAAGAACTATTACACTAAACAGAATGATCCAGTTCCAAATAGGTCACCAGCATGACTCTGTATTTTAGGTCCGCAGCATAGTTCTCCTTTTAAATTAAAGGCTCATGTTATAACCAGAAGAAATTTATCTTCTTTCCAGACATTATCTTCTGTCAGCTAAACACTAGTGGCTGATGAGATGATGATAGAGACACATGGGGGGAGGAAGGGAGGGAGACTGCCAGTATTTGCTAGACAGCAGAGGAACTCTGGGACTCAAATTCTGGAGGGGAGCATCCTTACCATTACAGATGCTTCTGCTTTTCTACTCTTTATTTCCTTTCTCCTCAGCTTCCGATACCTTCTACCGCTGCCCAATATTTCTCCACTATCAACCTCTGTTAGGCTGTTTCCTCAGCCTTTACCTGCCCTAGGCCCCAGCAGGGCAGGGGGTGAGACGGGACAGGACATGGGACACACACACAGACAGACAGACATGGGACAGGACACACAACACAACACTGGGGAGACTCTCCCTGCTCTCAAGTCCAGTGCTGCTGCACCAGCAGCTCCTAGCCCAGAGAAGCAATCACAAGGAATGTCCTCCTTAGTAAAGGGGCAAACACCACATTTCCATCAGTAGCCATTAACGCTTTGGAGCGCATATACACCTACACCTATACAGCAATGCTCAGGTATTTTCCCCACTCAATGAGCATTTATTTTTGAAAATAATGACAAATGGCACTTGTCTGGTCTCTGGACAATACTCAAATCCCACTCATAGCTCCAAGCCATGGAGCAACTAGAGCAACCGAAAACTTGGAAAATTATTCTAATTCCCAACAAAACAATTTATTTGCCTGTAACATTCCCTGAGGATTTTTTTTTTTTTTTTTACTGGAAGCTCAAATTCAAATCAAAGTAGGTACCTGGCATGTAAAAGTTGAATAGAACTCCATTTACAGTTAACCAAAAAGGTAAAAAAAAAAAAATTTTAAAACAAAAATCTTAGTTTATCACCAAGAAAGTTTAATAGAAGGTCTGTCTGCTAGCTCCATACATATTATATATAAACAGAAAGTTTACAAGCACCAGAACTACATCAGGGATACCAAACTACTCAGAAGTACACTGTATTAGCTGCTGTTAAAGTTTCTATATGTAATAACTTATCTGCTTTTTCCAGACTGAAGAGATACACAATTACTGATACCAGCTTTATTAAACAAGAAAAGTCAATAAGGTGTTATTTTTGGAGAGAGCTATAGACATGAAGTTCTACTAGAGAGTCCCCCACTCTAGTATAAATTAAGTATTGGGACCCATGGATGTCCAACATTAATCCCAAATTTATCATATAATGGCATCTCTCCTTGAGATAGAAAAACCCAACGTGTTTTTGAATGACCACCAGATTAGATCACAGAAATACACGTACAGGTACATTAGATTCTGAAGTTCAGTTTCTTGATGCTGCTAAGGATCTTAAACTGTCAAGACAGTAAACAAGCAACTAGAAGTCAGAATTATACCAGTTACGCTGCACAGCTTATACCTGTGAATAAGCCTTCGATATGAGATAGTCTATCCTACTGTGGAACAGTCTTTAGGCAACACAGAAGTTGAATCAAAATATTTTTCAAGCTTAAAATTTCTATTTTTTTTTTTTTAAATCAGACTATTTTAAAATATGTAGTTCTACATTTTTATGCTGCAAATTGATTTTACAAACAAAGCATCTCAAGACACATGATTTAAAGTATACAATGATTACACAAAAACATTACTTGCCTTCATATGGTGTGTCCGGAGGTCCTGCTATTTCTCCTCTTAATTCTGTAAAATTCTCATCTACAAGATCTACTTTAATTTGATTTTTGCTCGTCTTAAAAATAAACAGAGAAACAAAGAATCATAAGTAAGCATTTGACATACAGATTTCCCCCACAACACGGTATTTTATATTTTTAGACTAATAGCTTGTAAAAGATACATAAATAAAAAATGTAAAATATAGTAACCTAAAATGAATAGCTAGCTTCCATTTGAAATTTTACTTCATTAAAAATAGACTATTTGTGAAGCAGTAGAAATTTCAATATTATTTGTATCATCACTAAAATAAGCAACCCAGCTATATAGTATTTAAAGTTAAATATTAAGTTGATTACATTTTTAGAAGACCATGATCTTTCAAATCAGCTACTAATTCTACATATCTTAATCTATAAAATTAAATTGACCAAGTTACACACTGTTTTGTTTCTTCTTTAGAGTAATTTAATTAAATAGACATGATTGTCACTTTCCTTGGAATATAGAAAGACTTCCCCAAATGGAGTGCTCACTATTTTTAAACAATATGATGATCTAAACATAATACTGTAGTCTTGCTTAAGATTATGTTTATCTTTAATATTTAGGCGTAAGGTACAATTTATTTATATACTTGAATTTCATCATCACCTCCCCAACATTTTCACACCCCATATCAACTTGCCTACGAAATAAAAACACTGTATTTTGATACTGAAAAAAACATATGTTTTCCAGAAACTGATTCTCAGAAGTGTTTAGCCAGAGCTACTCCATTGAATTTGCTTCCCAAGTCCAGAAAGCAGTGTTAGTGAAATTCACACAAATCTTCTGGCCAATAACATTTTGGGGAGGATGCAAAGCAGAATCTCCTTTTAGAAAGATATACCAAAGTTTTTAGATGTAAGTAATTACAGGTTTATCCATTCTGCTACCTCTGTATACCATGCTCACTGACTGTAATACAAATTTTCTGAATCCGATGTTGTGGTTTGTTTTGTTTTGGTTTTTGTTTTTTGTTTTGTTTTGTTTTTTTAAATCATATCATATTCCCAGATCCTTTAAAATTGTTCCAACTAGTTATACACCAAAAAGCCTCGTGCAGCTGCACTTCTCCCTCAGAGTAAACTTGGTTGCTGGCAGCTATGACAGAAGAGTTAAGTCAGATAAAGCAGATGGTTGTCATCAACTGGTTCTTGGATTTACCAATGATGTAAACCATTAAGGATGCAGAATTCACTGAACAACAGTGGAGAGAATACATCTATTTCCTTCCTGTAAATATTCTATAGATTCAGTCCCCCCTCACCAAAAAGTATGCTCTTCTGACCAGAGATGCTCACAGAGGTGCTCAAAGAAAAAACAAAGTTTAAGATTCACCATGTAAAAGATCCTAATTAAAAGTTTCACTAAATTAATCCAATGGTGATTTGCAAGCTTTTTACATCTATGGTTACACACATTTGTCTTTAAAACTCGGATAAGAACCCTTCAACCCACACAAATGAGGCAGCATGTCCAACTGCATAGTTGAGGCCAAGAACTGCACTTCAAAAAACAAAAATTCAACCACACTACAAATTAAGAACTAAGCAGGCACCTCCAAAATCAAAAGTCAGTTAAATACTAAATGTAATGGTTCTGTTTTACCAATTTATATTTATAAACTAGCTTTTTGTTTTAAGCTCAACATCAGATCTTGCATTATCTTTCATGACTTTAGCTAAGACATCAGAGAAAGGAAGTTATTAATATAACTGATGAAATTATGTTTTTAAACGTATTTTAGATTTATTTTACTTCCTGCTACTGTTCATATAAATTGCCTGACCAAAGAGCAACTGAAACAGTTTTCTTTCACAGCTTTGTTTTTATAATACTGAGCAAAAGGACAGACTATCCCAGCAAGACAGCCCACTCCAACAGCCAAGCACTGTAAGAAACTCTCTCTCTGAATCCAATCTCCATCTCAGGCAACATATTCCTCTTGTAAGATTTCCAACGCCCCTTTTAAGTTTTTTGTTCTCACTATTCCTCCTGGCAGCTCATTCCACCACCTCACAATTGTTAAAAGCTTTCTAAACTACAATTTAGGTAAAGTTATAATCTATTTACGCCCACCTGTGACAACATTGTTTCCCAGATTCAACAAGTTTCTTTGTATCTCTAGTATTATTACCCTCATAAAATATGGTATTTATAACCGTTTCCCTTTTCAGCCTTAATTTTGCTCTAAACAAGCCGAAATTTTAATCTCACCATACTGCTTTTATTTTTTTTTTTAATTTCTCTATGTCCCATGATCACATAGCACTACATAAACAAATTTAGATGAAGTCTCAGAATCAGTGCCACGAACACTCTGTTGCACTCACCAAAAATACATCACAACCAGCATAACCTAAGATCAAGTTTGCCTTCTTCCACAGTAGCATGACACGAGGCTCAGATCAAGTGACAGAGTCCCAGCAAGACTTCCTATGGAAGTTTCTGTCCTCTTCAATGACTGTTCTGTGCATTACTACTTAGCTGACAAAGCAACACGTTGGTTTAAATAACCAATACAGTTAACAAGTCACCAAAAATACCCACTCTCGTAATGCAGTCATTCTAAGGTCTATTCAGGTTCTCCTGCTCTCCCTCTGACAACTTCACCTGGTAAGCTCCAAGTCAACAGCAGGAGCTCTTGTTCTTTGCAGCTGAACCCAGAACTTTCCATCTTGAGGACTGGAGCAATAGCAGAAGGGATGAGTTAATCCATGCTGCAGCTTGCTTAAATTTCTACTTAGCATTTTACTTTTCTTCAGTGTCCTCCACACTGTTGTAGCAGCCTGGATACTCACCTTCATATTCAATTCCAGTTAGTACCACATTAGCTGTTTTTCAAACAAATCCTGACTGCATAGATTTGGTAAAACACCCCCCACCACCACCACATACACCCCCCCCTATTGCTAAACTCAGTTCCTTTCAATAGTCAGTGATCCCTGGTTCCCCATTCGAGATGGCTGCTTTTATTACTACAGCTGTAGCTATCTCCATACCCTCATTTCCTTCATAAAGAACCTTGAGGAAAAATGACAGGCTATATTACACTGTTTCAGTGTAAGAATTAACTTAATTTGGGGTTCATGCTTAAATCCTACCATGCCCTCCATACAACAAATGCATTTGCTTTTATTTACATAGCTGAAGAACTTTTTTCATGCCATTCTGACAGACTTTTCATGGTGCAACTCAGCTTTTTCAAGGTGCGATTCTCGCCTTTTTCTTCATCCCCGGAGCAGTAGCTAATATTTAACTGTACTGAAGTGATTATTCATCCAATTAAATCTAGAGTGTTTTCCTACAATATTTCCCCTTAATGAAGACCACATAATATAAAATGACTTAATTCTAGCAGTGCTAGCAGCATAAATCCCTGGCCTCCATCATAATCAGATAAACTGTCTCTATAATGTTAGCCAACAGCAGAGTTATCTAAAAGCATGCCTCCGACACCAATGATCTTCACCCAGAATTTATGAAATAGTTTGAGAACTCACAACACAAGTTGATTTTCCAGAAGCAATTCTACAAAGATCTCGTTACCTCCATACGAAGTCTAAAATAGCATCACCTCCTGTTGATTCAGTAACAATTTGGTGACTAAATTACTGGGCTAGCAATTACTGAATTATAAACCATGTCATCACTAGCACTATTTCCATAATCTCAAAGAAGTTAAATTCTGTAACAATACAATTCCCACTAGCATTTCTCGCTAACATGGAAATACTCCACCAACATGAAATTCCTTTTCTAGGAATCTGCAAGTCCAATACTACACCAGAACTTCCCATCTTCGTGCCTGAAAATTATTTTGATCAACAATGACAAGAAATAAAGTGTGTTAATGCAACATATTACACAATGCAGTATGCCACTCCATCACCTTTTTCTTCATATTCTAGTTGGATTGTGCATAACCTTTTTTCTTTTTAAATGCACCCCCTGCTTCACACTAGGGCTCTAGTCAAAAGATTTGTCATCTTTCAGACCATCTCAACTGCTGAGACACTTTATGCATTGCTATAGTCATGCTTACCCAATTTTATTCTGCGTTGTGAAGATTAAACCCAAGCATGGAGATTAAATTACGGGTGTGAGGCAGAAAAGTTGGGGAAGATTCATAAGACACTTTCATCCATTACAAAATCCTTATCTCTAAAAAGAAACCCAAAGGAATTAATCCTTCATGAAAAGTCATACTGTGAGCATCTCCCAAAGATTGGACACTCAATCACATTTATCACAGCAGCTACTGATCGATAATATTTTGGCTTGTCTTTGCCTGCCTCCTCTTAAAATAAAACCAGACAGTGTAATTCTGGATTATTTTTTATCTGAGTATCTTCCTTGTATAGAACACACAATCTACTCCAGCAGAAACTTTGAAGAGTAAGTTCTGTCACTACGAGGACTTTACCACACACGTCTTTCTCCACTTCTACTAAAATCCTTTTAGAAAGCAGCTCAGGACTTTATAATATTACTCTCAGCAGACAACAAGCCCTTCTGTTCTTTTTACCCACCATAGTCCACAGGCCTTAACAAGGAGTTCCTCATTAGAGGGGCCTGCCTTCTTTTGAGCTAATCCACCCTTTCTTCTGAGCCTATGACATCTCCTTCTATCTTTTCCAAACTGCCTTTAAAAAACAAGTTTTATTTATGTGCTATTTATGGCTTATTATCCTCTACACTAGTCCCATACCTCCACTCTTAAAAAAAAAAATTTCCTTCACTAATAAAAAAAAAATCTATAAAAATATGAAAAAGTATTTTAAAAAGATAAAAAGTAGAAAGAGAACCAAAACAAAACTATACATCTCAATATCACAAGAGCACATTAAGACAAGATAATTGCACTGATGTTCTAAATATTTCTTTTCCACATATAAAATACTATTTACTACATTTGCTAAAAAGAAAAATAAATGTATATTCCAAGTTCGATCTTGAGCTAAGTCTAAATCCTGAAGACTCAAGGTAGATGAAATGACCTTTTTTTTTTAAAAAAAAAAAAAAGTA